TATGGCCCTGCTGAAATACCATGGACTAAACTTTCCAGCATGACAGCAACATACAATACCATATGAAATACCACGGACTTAACTTTCCAGCATGACAGCAACATACAATACCATATGAAATACCACGGACTTAACTTTCCAGCATGACAGCAACATACAAGCTGCCACAGTATGACAAATGGACAGACAAGTGGTAGCCAAGAAGATAATAGACATATTTAATCTTCATAAGTGCATAGTTTTGCCTATTTCTATCATGGTTTAATTCTCACTATCTGAACAAAGGTTGAATCTCCATCGTCTGAATCTAATAACTCCAAACAACCAAGGTCACTTCCATTGAGTTCATTCCAACTCATACCGACCCTATAGAACAGGGTAGAACTGCCCCAATGGGTTTCCGAGACTGTGACTCTTTAAGGGAAGAGAAAGCCTCTTTTTTTTTTTTTTTTTAAACCAGCAGAATGGCTGCTGGTTTTAAACTGTTGACTCTTGGGTTAGTAGCTCAATGAGTAACCACTATGCCTCTAGACACTTGAACTTAATAAATGTTCACTAAATATTTGCTGGGTGAGTAGAGAATATATGAGGTCCCCTTCATTCTCAATTCTTAACATTAAAACACATTTCATATAGCTTCTTTTATCTTTACAAACCGTCCCTGTCTCACTTTGAGACGGAATCAAGCAGTAAATGTCTGTTAGCATATAAGAGACTCAAAATGCAGGCCTAGCTAACTTCTTACTGATCTTCCAGGTGCTTCATCCTTTCATGCTTATGGAAAATATGTTTACCTAGGTAAGTAATCAGTAGCTCATAGACCAAATCTTATCAGTTTCTTAAAGATTCCTAAGCAACAAAGCCAAGGTCTGATTCTTTAAGAGGTTTGTGTTGGACACTAAGACCACTACTAGCCTTGTCAAAGTTTACTGAGAGCCTTGTCACCCAAAGAATAACATCCAAATGTGTCCAATAGATACCAAAGCCACAAATGTAGATGTATTTAATTCAGGCAGCCTTCAAAGAGGAAATTTATTCTCATTCACTTTGCCATGTTAGTATTGCTATTGCAAGTTGTCGTTTCTTTATTTTTATTTCATCCAATAATTGTACTTATCTTTTTAAATAGTCTTACCTATCAGAAATATACTAAAAACTAAAGAGTATTGGGCAGAATGTCAAGTATTCATATATACCATAAATATTTTTCAAATTTTAGATTCAAATCTTACTTGCCTTCTATACAAATTAACCCATAGATGAGAGTGGAGTCAGGGATTCCTGCTGAACTTGACCATTGAGAAAGCACCCACACAATGAATAATCCATAACTAAAGCAAAATCCTCCCAATACCTTAACAATCAAATTATATCTACATAGCAAAAAAACGGTAAGAAAAATCCATTTCCTTCTCACCCAGAGTATTTCTTCTGTCTCTGAAAGTTTACCAGGACCAAGCTGGCAAATCAAGACCTGTGACTGACAGGAACATTCTTCTCTTAATCTCTCATCTCAAGGAAGAGCACTGTTCATTGTGATACAAATAAGAAATATATGTCTTTGTTTTAAGATCTCAAACTCTTGTGACTTTGGATGATAACTTATCTCATATCACAGGAAGGATAGAGCCCCAAGTAAGCAGTTTTCAAAGTTATTTTGCCAAAGAGTCTATGACATCAGATCTAATAGTACTAATATATTTTGCCATAAAATAATTGAAAACAATATACTAGTAAAGGTATAAAATTGTACAATCATACTGTGTCATATTATAGGAAAGTGTAGATTGAAGACAATGTATTGATTTATTTTATGGCTATTTGTCATTACTTTTTTCACATATTTTCTTGTGCAACTTGCACAGGACAGCTATAGTGTGTGCAGGTTTATTTTGTCTTGTATCTTGCTTAGCCTCCACATTCTTATGATAATCATTTTTCTGTGCTTTGGCAGAAGTCTGGGATACACTGCATCTTTTCTTCAGTCTTTCACAGGCATCGCCCAGCCAGGTTCTGAACTAATTATATCTTCACTTGCCGGCTCCATCAAAACCAGGGTGTGCTCTCAGGCACTTTCAGAGCCAAGTGAAGCATGTCGAGAGTCTGAGTTTTTAAAACGAACTTTCAGAAATAACCACAACCCACCAGCAGAAAGTAAAACATGTTTACAGCAACCACTGGGACAAGTAGATTGTGACTTTTCTGTAATAGTGATTGGGGGGGGGGGGTCACCCTGAGAATTACTCCGTGTGAATATGGGAGCTATGAATGTCTGATTTCTACCAATTCAAATGTTTATTTGAAAGTACAATATAAATTCTCAGAAGACTTTCTTAAGTTACCTTTCCATCTCCTCTACTTGCAGACAGACTTATGTAGTGAGGCCCTAAACAGGATCACCGGAAACTCATGCACATTTCTACTCTGACTCCAGAGACTGATCAACTGAAGTTGTTCCCCCCTCCGATCACTATTGTAGGGGTGATCACGTAGTAAAGTCCAGTTACGCTGCTCAAGGGTGTCCACTTCATCACCAACTAGTTTTGAAGGATAGAGCTCCAGTGGGAGACGTTTGTTCAGAATGCAGCCTCAGAATGTCCTTTTTTTCCAGGGAGAACAGAAGTGCGCCAGATGAGACCCCAGTCGCAAGCCCCCTTTGTGACTGGGCTACGTGGAGAATTTCTGCAATCGGGTTAACGCCAAGCACAGTTGTTGGTTAAGTGGTGATTTACTGAAGAAATGGGTAACACCAAGGGCTGGAAGAGTGGGAGGAAGCAGGCAAATAAAACCTTTGTATTTTGTAGGCTCTGTCCTAGGTGGGAGCAAAATAGTGGGGTGGGTAGGAGAAGATCTGTTTGCATCTCCTGTGGTCAGTGAACTTTTTCCTAGAGAAAAGCACTGGCATTTGACAGCATTCCAGCCAGAGCCTTCCAGCAGACTTTCTGAATAAATCTTTGAAATGGAGAGAAGCTGAGACAGGCGGTCAGGGGAGAGGAGTATCAGATGAGGTGAGAGGATGTGAAGGGAAGAGTCCCCTCGTCGTACAGGACTGTTAGATAGAGAGGGCAGCTTGGAATTTCTCAGAATGATCCAGGCCTAAAGGAAATGCCCAGACCCTGCTGGTGTACTGCGAGAGCAGACCATACAGCGCTGCGGGTGGAAGCGCAGGGCAGGAGGGGACAGCCCCGCAACGAGCGGCCTTCAGGGGGCGCGCTGCCCCTGCGGACGTCCGCTTGGAAGGCTC